AACACTACAGTCAACACTACAGTCAACACTGCCAAAATGCTGCAAAAACCACACATTTCTATATTTTCGTTAAAAAAAGCTGAAATTCTTCATTTTTTATTCAAAAATGTGTAAAATCCACAAAATACTGTTATTTGCAGTGTTTTTGCAGTGTTGACTGTAGTGTTGACTGTAGTGTTGACTGTAGTGTTGACTGAGTGTTGACTGTAGTGGCGCATACTGCCTGCCAAAAAGCTGAAGACAGCCAACAGGCTGTGGAAACCACACCGACGCGCTACGTTTGCGGCGCATTTCGTGCGCGCTCAAGTATATTGCCTCCAGCGCTTGTGTGCTCACGTTCTCTTGTGCGACTGCAGTGTTTTGGCTTCCAGGGCTCCGCGCCGCGCCATGCCAGCAGTGCTCAGCAAGCCGCGTCGCCGGCTAAGGGAGAAGACGTGGCTGGGCTTCGAACTTGTGCCCGAGGAGCCAGAGTGGCACAAGCGCATTTGCCTCCTTGCAGATAGGGTTACAGATGAGAATGTCGCCTCTCAACCTCAGCAGTCCTTTCTGAAGGAGGAAAGCCTTGATCCAGAGCGCTCTGGTTCCTCCAAGCAAGTGTACCTGGTCACCCTTCCTGCGCTTCGACGCCTTGACGACTCTGATGTGAAGCCAGGCTTACGTTGCCCCAGCACTTGGGATCATGCAACTGTAGCCCGCGTTTTCCTGGATGTTTTCGAGCAGCCATTACGCAGCCGCAACAATGCTGCTTGGGGATCAGTAGTGGAGCTGGACACTTTTGTTGTCTTCCGTGAAAGCCATGCCCCTCGTGATGGCGAAGAGGCTGGGCCCTTCCACTGGCACATAGCTCTCAAGGCAACTTGCTGCTTCCGCTTTGCCCCTTTCAAACGCGCCCTGTTCGTCCGCCATGGTTTAGCAAGCCACTGGAGTTGCTCACACACTGGCTACTGGTCAGCCGTGAGATACGGCTTCATGCCAAGCCCCGCTAAGCCGCAGGAGAGCTTGGATTCGCAGCCATTTACTTGGTCTCGTCTGGGGCAGCATCGCAGTTTGTTTGAGGCTTGCCAGGAGCCTTCCACTGCAACGGCCCTCAGCAGACGCAGAGAGAACAAAGTCAAGATTGCGAACGCTGAGGGCAAGGCCGAGCCGCGACCATGCGAAATGGACCTCTACCCCATCATTGTCCGCAACGGCTTTCGGAACACCGCAGACGACCACACAGCGGCGGAAAAGCTTATCCAATGGCTCAAGCAGCATGGTTCCCCAGCCTTGGTCAGCTTTTCCTTCAAGCATCGGCAGAAGCTCCCAGGAATCATTGATGACGTCTGGTCTTGGGAAACAGTCGATGACTATCTGGAAGTGAATGCGCAGAGTCGGGTGCAACTCCTTCAGCGTGCTCTTGCCCAGCCATGCAGCTGTGGCGGGCGTTGGCTTCAAGCTGCGTGCCAGCTTCTCCAGCGCAATCGTGTTAATGGTAGCGAGCTATGCTCACACATCTTGCGCAGCCTCTCGCTCGGAAGACGAGAAGATGTCCCGGTCGTGGTCCTCATGGGACGCTTCGGCGGGGAAGGGAAGTCCTTCCTGCTGTCGCCCTTGAGGACTCTAATGGGTGTGGAGAACGTTCAGGCAACTCCGCAGCCTGGATCTTTCCCGCTCCTTGGCCTAGAGCGGCGCAAGGCCGTGCTGCTGGATGAGTGGGCCTTCGACACATCGGTGCTGCCACTCCCTACGCAGCTGCTTTGGTATGAGGGCAAGCCTTTTCCGGTAACGAGGCCACAGAACAACCGTGACATCCATGGCCACTTGCTCTACCAAGGCACTGCGCCAATCTTTGTGACGTGCAAGGAGAAGGACTTGCAGCCCATCATGTTGAAGGCTCAGGAGGCCTTGCAGCTCGGCAGGCCGAACGAGTGCAGCATGCTCTTGCGCCGTCTCAAAATCTTCAGCTTCTCCGTCCCCTTCCCCGTGGGCCGAGACAAGATCCCAGAGTGCGCCACATGCTTTGCACGACTTCTACACTCCTGCGCCACGCCAGCGCATAGTCCCTGAACAAGGTTGCCAGTTCCTAGCTGGGCTTCTCAGCCACAGCTCCTACTTATAATGTCTATCTCTGTTAACGCCAACGCAAGACCTTTCCGAGAAAAAAAGGGAGACTGCTGAGATTACTACTGCCGTCCGGCTTTTTATTCAAGACCTACTTGAGTCTCTTGTCTGA